AAATGGGAGTTTATTTTGCACAAAACTGGTAGATCCATATTTATTTTCACAAAATAACGAAGACTCTTGCACTGGCTTGAGCTGTACCCATGGAAATGATCACGAGATTCTGTTGAAGATAAACCAGTAAATGATCAGTAAGTGTAATCCCATGCTTTCCACATGTCAGGTAACAAAATAATACTATTAAACTACGCATACAATTTACTAGAGAATAAATATCTACCAGTTGTTTGTGAGCAAATCATGTGAAGGTCGCATAAAAACACTAGCGTAAATATTCACGTCAAGAATAGATTACGTATTGACTCAAAGTGTGTGACTTTAAACTAGAGAATAAATATCTACCAGTTGTTTGTGAGCAAATCATGTTTATGTGATTATGTCGCATAAAAACACTAGAGTAAATATTCACGTCAAGAATAGATTACGTATTGACTCAAAGTGTGTGACTTTAAACACTACTTTATAGAGGTCTGTTGTTTATATAATTACTTCGTCTCTGATCGCCTTTTGAGAATTCGTAATGGACTTTGAGCTTCTAATACCCAGAATTGTGTTTTTTTTTATATGTATACCATAAAGTTTGAAACTTGTTAGTGCTGAATGAAAAATATAATCACCATTCCGCTTTGCGAGCCACTACGTAAACAATAAAACTGATATACGTTGGAGTATGTGTTGATTCGGAGTGGCTTTAGAAGTGTTAAATAATATCTAAACCCAAACCTATTGCAGGGATACTGAAGTTTTAGTACGTTATATAAAAATGATTTTCAATATACAACTTTACAGGTTACGAAACAATAACTGCAGACGATATAAAGTCGTGGTAGAACAGATGGACATTGTTTCGCATTTCATAGATGGTGTGATGCCACTGAAAACTGATTGCTTTACGGAACAGTCCTATCTGACACCAAATATTCACACATTCATATCATAAAGACATGATCGGATCGTGGATTTAAAATTAACAAGATGAGGATATCCTTTGTACTTAATAACATTGTATAAAAAATAAAAACGGACATACGTGAGGCATAACAATCATTCAGCCGTGGTAAATAAAGTACAGTGTCTTGCAACAGGTAAGACTCCAACGAACAGTAAGACAAAGTTTTCTAGGTATTCCAGGTAACAGCACGCATAGTAACATAATCAAGAAGGATCTCTGTTTGGAAATGAAGCCAACAGGGTATAGTTTCACCAAAATAAATCTTCCAATCGTATCTCTTGTTTAACTGTCATATACTTCAAACAGCTGGAAGATGAAATCGGTATTTATACTGTTAACTGTCATATACTTCAAACAGGTGGAAGATGAAATTGGTATTTATACTGTTAACTGTCATATACTTCAAACAGCTGGAAGATGAAATCGGTATTTATACTGTTAACTGTCACATACTTCATAAACAGCT